TCTAGAGAATATGCTAATGCATGGAGGGGAAGAAGAAAATAATTGATAACACTGGCCCTTTAGTCTCTTATGAATGTATATTTAGGAAGTGGAAAAGAGATTTTTGTCTTTTATTTATTTATTTCCTTTATTTGCTCTGACACCAAGGATACCAATATGGGGACCTTAATGCATTCTTCACGGAAGACAACATAAAGCATACTATGTTATTTTCCAGAAGAAAAAATGGATTAAAATTATCACAAAAATTTAACTGTAAAGAACTTTCTGACTAAAATAATTTTTATACTAAAACTGTAGCTAAAAGTGATTATAAACATTGTTACTGAAAGTATATTTCTGAAATGAAGACTGATATCCATTTGTTGGGAATTATATACACATAATTATACACACATTCAGCAATCAACAGACATTTCCTTGGACTCTCTATTAATCCTGGGAGTGTGTGTATATGTGTGTGTCCTCAGATATATACTCAACTATATTTAACTTCTCCATAAAGAACATGAACACATTAAGTAATTAATGCTTGTCAGTTACTTTGAGTGAATGCCGTTTGAAGCAAGTGCTATATATGTTAAGTAATAATAATAATCAAGATAATGGGCTGTCCAATTATGTAGGTTATTTGCTAGCAGTTTTAAAACACACCATATGTTTGCTAGGATGTAGATATTTATTTATTTTTCTTAAGAAGGAAGACAAGCATTCATCAATGTAAAATAAAACTTTTTTTAATATGAGAGGCATGCTGATTTATGTAATGATTCTAAAATTGTCTAATACCTACAGCACAGTCAATCAAGCTGTACTCAATATGCTAAAGAGTAAGAGAAGGGCCAAATCTTTGGCGTTCCTTCTATTGGTTCTTTGAGGATTGGAAAAACTTGCACTTCATTCTCATCCAGGAAAGCCATCTTATTTCCCAGATCACTTGGTCTTTCACAGTCTTTTTCCATACTTATTATCAGATTGCTGTAACGATAAAACTCATTTTAGTCCATTCATTCAACATACTTCTGAAATACTATTGAAAGAAAGGAGGCTGGGCGTGGTGGCTCATGTCTATAATCCTAGCAATTTTGGAGGTTGAGGTGGGCAGATCACCTGAGGTCAGCAGCTCCAGACCAGCCTGGTCAACATGGTGAAACCCCATTGCTACTAAAAATATAAAAACTAGCCAAGTATGGTGGTGAGTACGTATAATCCCAGTTCCTCGCGAGGCTGAGGCAGGAGAATTGCTTGAACCCAGGAGACAGAGGTTGCAGTGAGCTGACACGGTGCCATTGCACTCCAGCCTCGGCGACAGAGTGAGACTCTTCCTCTTTAGTGGCCCAACACTGCTTACAGTGTAAAGTCTAACCTTCTGATTACAGCCACAAGATGTTCAACACCATGACCTCAATTATGTGGAAAAGAGGATGTCACAAGCTTTTCTATATAATTTACCTCTGTTGCACCAAACTACTTAGTGTTCTCAGAACACTATGCTTCAATCCAGGGTGATTTCTTCATTTTGGTGTTCCTGTGGCTCCTTAATGCTGTATATCACAACCACTGTCATAGTGTTTAATTATAAAGGTTATCCACTGCACAAGGACACTATATTACCTTATAAACATCATAGTAAATGTCTTGCTCTAACAAAATGATCAGATCCTATCCCTTTATCTCATTTAGAAATGTCAAACTATCTTGATTAACAAGCTTATCAAAATCATATGAAGCAGAAGAGACACTTTTTCTGAAAATAAATGGTGGTGGGCAGAGTGAAAAAAAAATTGCAGATGCTTTCGGGCTGGGTGCTATGGCTCATGCCTGTAATCCTAGCATTTTTGGGAGGCCAAGCTGAGCACATCTCTTGAAGCCAGGAGTTCGAGACCAGCCTGGCCAACATGGCAAAAACCCTGTCTCTATTAAAAATACAAAAATTATCCTGGCGTGGTGATGAGTGCTTGTAGTCCCAGCTATTCAGGAGGCTGAGGCAGGAGAATTGCTTGAACCCAGGAGGCAGAGGTTCAAGTGAGCTGAGATTGCACCATTGAACTGCAGTCTGGGTAACACAGAGAGACTCCGTCTTTTTTTAAAAAAAAAAAAAAAAAAAAAAAAAAGCAGATGCTTTCAGTAATTCTATCCTTTCACTTCCTGGTAGTCATAAATGCCTTTTCCACAATTCATAAAATTTCAAAAATTCTCAGCCCAGCAATATGCAAGTGTCCCATTCATTCATAAGCAAAATCTCACTTATCCTTTCCTCCAGAGGGTGACTAGCTGAATCTTAGTTCATACCTTGTTCTCTAAGTCAAGGTTTTCTGGGCAATCTGCAGACTAGTCTGTTTAGATATGACCTCAAGGTGCAAAAGGCCATAGATAAATAATATATTTAACCACCTCCACACACTGAATATACACTAATGAAGTTAAAACAGGATAATTATCACAAAAGCTCTGATTTACAAAGGGGAAGAAGGAGAAACAATGTATAAGGCATCTATGATATTTCCTAGACATGGTTTGCAAGGATTCCCTGCCAAGGAAGTGAAATGTTTCTTGGTCAACCAAAGTCAATTCTACTGATTCTTTTCACTGGAAAATTCACCCTTCCATCACTCTTCCTACTCTTATGTGGAAGAGACATTGAGCAGCTATGCTGCTTTACCAACTCACTTCCTGTGTGGGTAGTTTCAAGTTTCAAACCTTAAGAGTAAATAATCATGTGAATCCTTTCCTACTTACCTAGCTTGGGACTTTTCTGGTAATAAAGTACTTTTTAAAATCACAATAGGATGCTGGCAAATTTGCATTCTCTCAACTCTCCAACCAAGTAACTAAAGATAGCAAACTTATTAGAGCTGATTAATCTAGATCCTGCATCCTTGTGTTTTAGCTACAGACTTTGGTGTTCTTCCCCTCTTTGGTCTTTAATAGCCCCCTTCTAGGCCTCTGTTTCCAAATTAATGGGCTTAGATAATGACGTAAGTATATTTTGTATTTTGCTACAAGACTAAATCATAGTTGGTGACTAAAGAGTAAGTGGCAATTCATTTGGTCTGGAAGATAACATAGTACAGGAAACTTTCACACAGAGCTAGGGAAACAAACTTCCTCTATTCCCAATGGCATCTATGGTTGTGTTTCTTGCTCCTCACCCTGCCTGAGACAAAACATCTAGCTAGTACAGCTGTAGAGAATAATGAAATCATGTCCTCTGACGCATCATAGCTGGAACTGAGGGCCTTTATCCTAAGTGAAATGACTCAGAAACAGAAAATCAAAACTGTACATTCTCACCTACAATTGGGAGCTATACGATGGGTACACATGAATATAAAAATAGAAATAATAGACATTTGGGACTTCAAAATGGGGGAAGTTGGAGAGGGTGAGGGCTGAAAAATTACCCATTAGGTACAATGTTCACTATTGGAGTGATTGGGTCACTAGAAGCCTAAATCTTGCCATTACAAATCTATTCTTGTAACAAACATGCACAAGTGTCCTCTGAATGTAAAATAAAATAAAACAACAAAGAGAAAGAAAGAAAGAAAGAAAGAAAGAAAGAAAGAAAGAAAGAGAGAGAGAGAGAGAGAGAAAGAAAGAAAGAAAGAAAGAAAGAAAGAAAGAAAGAAAGAGAAAGAAAGAGAGAGAGAGAAAGAAAGAAAGAAAGAAAGAAAGAAAGAAAGAAAGAAAGAAAGAAAGAAAGAAAGGAAGGAAGGAAGGAAGGAAGGAAGGAAGGAAGGAAGGAAGGAAGGAAGGAAGGAAGGAAGGAAGGAAGGGAAAGAGATGAAAGAAAGAAAAAAGGAAAGAGAAGGAAGGATGGATGGAAGGAAGGAAGAAAAGAGAAAGAAAGAAAAAGAAAGAAAGAAAGAAAGAAAGAAAGAAAGAAAGAAAGAAAGAAAGAAAGAAAGAAAGAAAGAAAGAAAGAAAGGAAAGAAAGAAAGAAAGAAAGAAAGAAAGAAAGAAAGAAAGAAAGAAAGAAAGAAAAGAAAAGAAAGAGAGAAAAAGAGGGAGGAAGGGAAAGAATAACTTAAAAACTTCACCTAGTACAACTTCCCACTATACACGATTATCTAACTCTCTGTCATTATGGATTGCTGACCATAGCAAACTGTACCATTCTCTTTCCTCTCTTAGTTAGGACAGTTGAAACTAAAGCTTAGATATTCTTTCCTCTAATACCATATTATAAGACTTAAGCATTAGAAAACACATCCTGCTTCCTACTATTACTCAATCAAGTATCTGTTTTCAAAAACACAATAATCATTGGTCTAATCAACCCTTTGCTTCTTACAAAAAGATTGTCAAGAATTTCCAATTTGAGGAAAAGATACTTTCCCTGTCGCCCACCCTATTTTGACTCAATTGATTCCACATTTTGGGTCTTCAAATTCCAAACACTCCCTCTTACTACCCATTATTCTGTTTTCCAGCACACTTTATTTTCAAATGTTAAGTAGCCAACTCAAGCCACTTTTAGCAAATATAGCAAATTCATTAACTCATATAACTAAAAAGATAAAGGAATCTCGCTTCAGGCCCACTAGTCACACTGACCCAGAGGCTGCCTGTGTCCCTCTGGCTCTGTGCTTCTTTCACGTTCATTCTCTCTCCACAATTTGGCTTTGCCCTCGTTTGTGCAGGCTTTATTTTCAGGCAGTTGCTCTTATTGCAGGATAATGAAAACTCTGCATTGTATTTAGGTTTACACATTGCCAGAAGCATGTTTTTAACAAACCATTGCAGTAGGGAGAGATGGTTGAACCTGATTATCAAAAACAGTTTTTTGTTTTTTTGTTTTGTTTTTACACGGCTGGTAACAATGAACCTACAGTGGGGCAGAGAAGAAGAAAAGGAAAATAATCGTGGGTTCTTTTACATCTTAACTGAGTAACAACCCAAGCTTTTTCAGAATTGTCAATAATTCTCACAACATTCATTTTATGACATGATTTTGAATATGTTGAAATGTACTCTAACATAATTTCAGGATGTACATGTTTAAAAATAAAAGGAAAGTCTCCAGGGCACATGTGCGCGTTCTTTCTTCTCCACATTTCATGATATTTGGGCAGAAACATCAGCAACAAGCAGCACTAAAAGGAAAATAATAAGAAAAAGTGAGATTATGCAATAAAATGCCATATGTCAAAAATTCACAAGGCAAGAAAAAAGAGATGCAAATTTAGTACATTAGAGTGGTTGCCTTTTTAGAGGGAAGTGGAAGGACCAAAAGAAGATAAAGGGGATATAGCCATTCATGAAGGGGTTGACTTTACAACAGGAAAATAACCCCCTTCTCTGAGAAAGGAGGAAAAGGGCAACTGCGAAAACTTTTGAGGAAATGAAAGTCATCTGAGGTGTGTATTTCAGTACCTGGGTATTTGAGGAAAACGAAACATGTTTGAAATGATTTCTGTAGCAAACTAAAACTGGAGATGAATAATGTAAATACCGAGTACTACTGAGGAAATCAGCCACAATAGGAAAGAATACAGTTGAAGTGCAGTAGGCAAATTATAATACTCACAGTATAGACATCTTTTAGAGAATGAAACATTATCGCAGAAACAAAACCCAAAAACATAGTTAATGATTCAGTGTATTCATTAGTTCTTTTTTCCTAACAGATTTTTTTTTTCCAAGCTAAAAACAAGAACATAAAACGTCAACAGTGGGATTTACCCAGAATTGAAGATTGGCAACTTTTCAAAAAGGGAAGAGTAAAATTATTTGTGAGAATTTGAGACCACAAATTATATTAGGAAGGAATGTTTCTTTCCCAATCCTAACGTCTTCTTCCATATAGGGAGACTTTTGTCAGCAAACATTTCTTGGCTTCCTTTGCTCGATTCCTCCTCTTTAGAGAGAGAGGACTAAATTAATATGATTCTCATCCAGCCCCATTCTCTCTTTTTCAGTGAGATACATGACGACCTGCCTACAGGGAGGGCATGCTTTCTGTTTGCTCCTTCATGCTGTGAAACTTACGAAGACATTATTTTCCCCTTTGGAAAAGTGAAGACAGGAGGAAAGAGGTTCTAAAGTTTGTGAGAGTAGTAGTTTACATTTTAAAAAGTGTTAAGATTTGGCACACTGAAAATGGAAATCATAAGATGGATATTTGGAGAGTAATAAAATGAGAAGACGAGATCAGGCAGAGTCCTGACGAGATCAACAGGCTTTAAATGTTGGAGATACTTCATCAATGCAGGCTGTGTGGGAAGTTTGCATAAGCCTGTAATTCTATGATGCGACTGTATTTTTGTAGTTGTGAGTTTAACAGCTGGGTCTTCACTGAATTTTCAGGCACGTGGAACATCACTGTCTTGTCTGTTCTTGTACTACTGTAAAGAAATATCTGAAACTGAGTAATTTATAAAGAAAATAGGTTTCATTGGCTTATGGTTCTGTAGACTATATGGGAAGCATGAGTCTGGTATCTTGGCTTTTAGGGAGGCCTCAAGAAGCTTACAATTGTGACAGAAGGTGACGGGGGGAGTCGGCAAGTCTTGTATGGCAGGAGCAGGAACAAGAGAGTTAGGGAGGAGGTGCCACACACTTTTAAACAACGAGATCTTGTGGGAACTCACTCACTGTGCAGGACTGAGGATGTGTGATGCTAAGACATTCATGAAACTTCACCCCCACTCTCCAATCACCTCCCACCAGGCCCCACCTTCAAAACTGAGATTTGGGTGGGGACACAGTTCCAAACCATATCAGTCACCTTGTCTTAAGGTAATTGTCCTTTGGTATATTTAGCCCATTCTTGAGCTAATGAGTAGGCATTTCAGAAAACACTGCCAGTTCTCTGTAAAGGCTGAGATTTTCCTTGCTGAACACAGGCTTCAGGAAACACACAGGCCTTACATCTAAGGGCTGATACAGTTTAACCTTGATCTTCAGGAGGCAGTGTAGCCTGGCATTATAAATGAGCTTACATGAGAATGGATCTTCATATGTTTTGTAGGAAAAATATAATTTGATACTTTTCAACCCAAGACACCTAAGTTATAAGTATAGTGGAATATCCCAGTAAGTCTGGATATAAATTGTTAGTATCAGGCCTAAGTAAATAGTAATGAGTCAGTTGCTCTAAATTTTGTTTTGCAGATCAAGGAGAAAACAGTTTTGTGAGTTGGCCCCATGCCCAAGAGTCCTAACATATTAAAATAATCACTGGATGAGTTTCAATGTGATAGAGTTTTTATAGATGAGCCTTAAGTACTGTATACTTAAGACTCCAGGGTAAAACATAACTAACAGTAGAAATATTGAAAGGGGAGCCAGCAGAAGAGTAATAGACTGAATATAAGCAGCCCTTATTGGATATTGGCCTGAGAAAAGCATATCACCTGCATGAAGATGAATAAGAATTATTTGAACAATGAATGGATGCTATTGGCAGACACAGACATAATGATTTTATTATAATCCCACAGGAGAGCCTCATAAGACAAAATCTAAATAAGGATTTAGTAAGACAAGCAAAACTACAGATTACCGAAATCAGGAACAAAAGAGAAGTCTTCACAACAAGCCCTACAGAAGTTAAAAGTAGCTTAAGAGAACATTCTGAAAAACTTTATGCTGAGAATTTGAATAGTTAGATAAAAAATACAAACTTCAAGAAAGAAAAAAATAACAAAATTGACTCAAGCAAAACAAAACAGAAAATGAGATAAATCTATACCAAGCAAAGAAATTAATTCTTAAAAATCTTTCTGCAAAGAAAGTTCAGAGTCAGATGGATTCACTAGTAAATTCTGGAAAACATTTAAGAAAAAAAATACCAATTTTACACAAATTTTCAAAAAAATAGAGAAGGAAATGGTGACTTTTATGAGGTCAACTCATTTTGTGAGGTCATTTTGTTAACCTGACACCAAAGCAAGACAAAGATATCACAAGAAAACTACAGTCGAATATACCTCATGAACATAAATATAAAAGCCCTTAACAAATATTAGAAAATTGAAACTAGCAACTTGTGAAAAGGATTATACCACATGGTCAAGTGAGTTTTGCCCCAGGAATGCAATGTCAGTTTAATATCTGAAATCCAATTAATGTTACATGTCATAGTAATAGAATAAAGAATAAAAACATGGTCATCTCAATAATCTCAATAGATGCCAAAAAGTTAAAAAAGTTAAAACACACTTGGGAGGCCCAGGGAGGCAGATCACGAGGTCAGGAGATGGAGACCATCCTGGCTAACACGGGGAAACCCTGTCTCTACTGAAAATACAAAAAAATTAGCTGGGTGTGGTGGCGGGCACCTGTAGTCCCAGCTACTTGGGAGGCTGAGGCAGGAGAATGGCGTGAACCCGGGAGGCAGAGCTTGAAGTGAGCCAAGATCGTGGCCCTGCACTCCAGCCTGGGAGACAGAGAAAGAATCTGTTTCCAAAAAAAAAAAAAAAAAAAAAAAAAATTAAAACACACATCTATTAATGACAAAAACTCAACAAATCCAGGAAAGTAGAAAAAGAAGGGAACTTACCCAAGCTTGTAAAAGTCATCTTGAAAAAAAATACTAAACTATAGCACATATCATACAAATGGTAAATGACTAAATGCTTTCCCCATAAGATCAGGGATAAGTCAGTACTATTTCTTCCAACTTCTATTCAGCACTGGTACTAAAGTTTCTAGCCAATTGAAACTCTAAGTAATTAAAGCCATTCAGATTAAAAAACCAGGAAGTAATAGTGCATTTATTCACAGTAAAAATGTTCTTACACATAGAAAACCACAAATAATTTACCTGCTAACACTTCTAAAAAAGAAAAAAAAGATACTAGAGCAAAGAAGTGAGTAGCAAGGTTGTGGGTAGCAAGATAAGTATACAAAAATCAAAAATTAAATTAAAAATGAAAACAAAATTTTACAAAATTATGTTTGTATGTATTAGCAATGAAAAATCCAAAACTCTAAAAAATTAATTTTAAGAAAACATTTTAATTCACAACAGTATACAGAAAATAAAATATAAAATGAGTTTTTGCCATGAATATATGTGTTTTAATTTTTACAATTTTTTGGCTTCTATTGAGATTATTGAGGTGATGATATTTTTTATTCTTTATTCCATTATATGACATATGACATTAATTCATTTTCAGATATTAAAACCTTCATATCACATATTTGTATTCTTTATTCTATTAATATTACATATGACATTAATTGGTTTTCAGATATTAAAACCTTCATAGCAATAAATAAACTACTTAGGGATACATTTTAATTAAAAAGTGAAGGATCCATGTATTGAAAACTACAAAGCATTGACAAGAAAAGTTAAAGACCTAAATAAACAAAAAGGTATGTTGAATTAGAATACTAAATATCATTAAGAGGGTAATTATTTCCAAATATATCTTTTTTTAATAGAAATTGACCAGCTAGAAATATAAAGAACCTAGAATAACAAACAATTTTGAAGAAAGTAGAATAAATTTAGAAGACACATGACCTGATTCCACAGCTTCCTTGAAAGCTGTAATCAAGAATGTGGTACTGGCATAAAGGTAGACACATAGATCAATGGAACAGAACAGAAATAAACACATATATATGATTAATTGATTTGGAACACAAGTGCCGACATAATTAAATGGGGGAAAGGATAGTATAAAAAAATGGTTCTAGAGCAACTGGAGATTCACGTTGCAGGGAAAAGGAAAGAATAAGCATGGACCCTTACCTCACACCACAAAGAAAAATGACTTGTAATAGATCACAGCCTTAAATTTAAGTGCAAAACTATACTACCTCTTAGATAAATCATAGAAGATAACCCTTGTGACTTTGGATTAAGAAAAAATTTCTTGAATATAAGACAAAAAGCATAATAATTAAAATAAATAAAAATAACAAACCAGACCTCATAAGAATTTAAGTCTCTTGTTATTCAAGACAATATTAAGAAAACGAAAAGATAAGCCACAGAGAAGCAAAAAGTACTTGAAAAACATATTTCTGATAAAAGACTTTTATCCAGAATATATAATACATTCTTACAAACCAACTGTAAGAGGACAATCTAATTAAAAAATGGACAAAAATATTTGGATGAACATTTAATCAAATAAGACATACAAATAGCAAATATGCACATGAAGAGGTCCTAAACATCATTAGTCATTACAGAAACAACAGTTCCAACTACAGCATGATACTACTACGTGCCTATTACATTGTTCAAATAGAAAAT